GGAACCAGGGCCGGAGCAGGAGGGCCAACGGGAACCAGGGCCGGAGCAGGAGGGCCAACGGGAACCAGGGCCGGAGCAGGAGGGCCAACGGGAACCAGGGCCGGAGCAGGAGGGCCAACGGGAACCCGGGCCGGAGCAGGAGGGCCAACAGGAACCAGAGCAGGAGGGCCAACAGGAACCCGAGCAGGAGGGCCACCAGGAACCAGAGCAGGAGGACCCACGTCAGAGGGGTGGGAATGGTGGGCTTCAAAAACCCCTGGTGCCACCTGCTCTGAATGGCACCCTGAAGCGACCAATCCCCTTAGGCCCGCCAGTTCTCCCTTCATCCCCTCCAGGAGCCCCAGGATATGAGCGAGGGGAGAAACTGGCAGGGTACCAGCCGTGGGTGGGGAGGGGAAAAACTGCCTGCTGGGTTCAAACTTTGGTCTGATCATTCTGTTACGACTTGGTGGTGAGGTGAACCCAATTGCAGGCTGGCAGGAAGACTTGAAGGATTAACAAAAAATTTATTAAATAAAAAGCCAATGTGGTGGCAAAAAAAAAAACAGAAAACTAACAAAAAGCAGGAGCAATAAAGCCAGGGCATAACAAGAATCCAACATGAACAAACAAACAATGAACCGACAATGACACAGAGACAAGACAGGGCTTAAATACACAGACAACAATTACTAACAGAAAATACCTGAGGGAGAAACATGAGGATCAGGTGTGAGTGGGTGGGGCTGGAGCAAGGGCAAGACAGGAGGAAGGAAACATGAACATGACAGAAACTAAAAATAAAAACACTTAACACAGACAAAAATCATAACAGTACAGAACAAATAGTCTCGTTTTGTTTTGCCATCATTTTTAAGTTCTGTTCAATAAACATTTAAAAGGTGATTTATTATATTTGTCTTTTTGTAGGGGGTGTGGGACCAGTTTCCTGTTTTACAATMAATGGTTAAAGGTAGCCTACAATGACCTTAGCTTTGTTAGATTCAGCTGCAGGTTTGAACTAGAAGAATTATAATTTTAATATGCAAAGAATAGAAGCAGTATCGGAAGTGTCTAAAATTAGTTGAAATTTGACGTAGAAAAGACGTCTATATTGAGCATTTGCACCATAATTAGCGGTCTGGAGGACGTCAAAACTAGACGTTTGACAGACGTCAAAAAAAAGACATCTTCTGGCGTCACAGTCTGCACCTGCGAGGGACCAAATTTAGACGTCCAAAAATGACGTTGAAAAGACGTCGTTTAGACGTATCCTTGCTCAGTGGGAAATTTTAATACAATAAACTTACATCTGTCTGTTAATAGTCAAAACCATCTATAGATGATTAAAGCATGTACATTCTTCACTATTTGTATTTGAAAATGAAAAGTCAGATGTTACAACTGACCCCGGGGTAACATTGTTTGCGGGTGGTTACAACATATTATTAATACAATATACTGTATTTCAC